CGCACCTTCTTTAGGTCAGTCCAGACGTTTAATCTTTGGGGTCTCTGAGACAGACAAGCACTTCTTGGATCAAGAATTTTAAAGCTCATCTGATGCCAACCTCTTCCTGGAGCTGGAGAATGGACTGTATCTCCACTTCTCTCTCCAGTGGAGATACGACTTTGTGGCAATGTATGATTGTGGCATGATGATGGGTCAACAAGGCATGAGAATGGGATACTTGTGTTTGCTCTTTTACCAGTGAGTTTCTCAATCTTTCTCCCACTATTACTCCCTCTGCTTGCCAGGCTTAGGTGGTGCAAAGGGTTAAGTGCTCTACTGCTAATTAGGAGGTTGGAGTCTACTCAGAGGTGCCTCAGAAGAAAGGCCTGGTGACCAACTTCCAAAAATCCAGCCATTGAAAATCCTTTGGCGCGTATGTCTATAGAGGTGTAATTGACTCATGGCAAACCATTCACCACTGTGTATGTGTGTGTGTTGTTAGATGTCATAGTCACCCTAATGTGACAGAGCAAGGAGTCACACTGCCAACCCAAAGCAGGTCAGAATTTCCCAGCGGCTCTGCAAGAGAAAGTTGGGTAAATCTGCTCTCTTATAACGCAGAGCCTCTGAAAACCTGCTGGAGGGTCAAGTATGAGTCAGTTCCAACTCAATAGCAATGAGTTGAGCTGAATATCTGTTGGAAAATTAGCTATAAGTCACTTTTTTTTTATATTTTTTAAAATTAATTTTAATGAAAGTTTACAGAGACTTAGGGTTTCCGGTCATTCATTGCTCCACTTTTCTCCTTGCCTACTCTCCCCTTATTCACTCTTGTCCTTGAAAAGTAGAAGAAAAACTCTTTCATTGTTATGCAGCTAGCTAAGTCACTTCTGACTCAATAGCACACAACAACATTTCAGGAGAGATGATAGGTAGGTCTTTGTCCCAAGAAATACTACCAATATTCTGTTGTTATGAGTTGGAAGTGACTGAGCTGAGCTGACTCTCGGGATGGAAGTGGGAGACACTGCGATTGGCACAGGACAGAGCAGAGTTTAGGGCTGTTGTACATAGGGTCGCTATGAGTTGCAAGCGTCTCCATGGCACATAACAACAACAACAGTGGTGATAAGGCCTCATTGAGAATGCAAGCAACTCTCCCCTCTATCCCAAAAAAGCAGAAAGCCCTCAAGAGTCAGACAATCTGCTTTGCTTTCTGGCTTTTGGCCCCAGGCAAGTTATTTCACTTCCCTGGGGCTGTTCCCTTCCAGGAAGAATAGGATGAGAATTCCCTCCCTCTCTGAACCTCTGGGAGGAATGTGTGAGATAATGCCCAGAAAGTGCTTAGCAAAGTACCATTATAATATTCATTGCATCACTAAGATGCCTTGAACCCTCCTGAAGACCAATGCATTTGAGGCCCTTCATTCCCAGCTTTAAGCCTTTACCCTGCGACAGCCCCCTACAAGTTTGACTGTCATTTAAATGTGGCAGCTCCTCCCCAGTTGCTGTCAAGCCAGTGCAATGCGGGCATGAAAAACCACCCAGTGCAGCCAGTACTTCTGATTTCTTAAGGGGAAACTGGAAATCGGGAATTTTTGTGTAAAAGCTCTCATTTTTTAAACTACTGGCTCAATGAAACAACAATAAGGTGGGCCAAACCTGAGAGGAGGAAATCAATTCAGTTCTATTTAAGAGTTGTTGTTATGTGCCGTCGAGTCCTTTGTGACTCATAGTGACCCTATGTACAACAGCCCTAAACCCTGCTCTATCCTGTGCCAA